CTTGTTTACCTTCAAGCCTTTAAGACCCCAGATGCTATATCTTTTGATAGCCAGGCACCATCAGCTTTCTTCACCACATTATCATTTCTATCACCAAAGCCTTATTTCCCAACTACTGATCCATTCTCTTTGCTTCCAATTTTGGCATTCCAAGAGCCTGTAATTATCAATGCATCTTTATTGCATGCTTGATTAATTTCAGACTTTGATAGAATTTTTAATTTCTTTATCACTAGCTTTAGTGGTTGGTTGGTAAATTTGAATAACAGTCATATTAACTGGCCTTCCTGTACTTCAGGATAGATCTTGAAATGTTCTTTCTAATGATGAATGGGGCACCATTTCTCTTCCATTTGTCATTCCCGGCATAGTAAACCATATGATTGTCCAATTCCAAACGGCTAATACCAGTCCCTTTCAACTCACAAACGCCGTGGTTATCAATCTTTATGTGTTCCATTTCATTTTTGACAACTTCCAATTTCCCTAGAATCATACTTCATACATGCCATGTTCCCACGATTAATGGGTGTTTTCAGCTGTTTCTTCTACGTGGGATCAAATCCACAACACGAACTTGAAAGGTTAGGGACAGATCTTAGCAGGTGGCAAGTTTATGAAAAGGTAGGTGAGAACGCTTGCAGAACTAGATCATGTAATCAATGTCACTGATTGAACATGTAGAAATGGTTAGATTTGATGTGTGTTTTGCTGTATATATTTTCAACAACAAAATAACATTTTAAAATATGGACAAACACCTCTTAGCTATCTAGTTTGGTTACAACAAAAATAATACAAGTGGGTGGAGTTAACAAACAAGTTTATATTTTCATGTTAAGAGTGAATTAAAAATAAAGTGAATCCAGGGTAGCAGCTGAAAGGCAAGGCTTTCTTTCTGTATTGGTGCGGAAGGAAAGTCCTGGGTCTTCTGAGCTTCTGCTCCGGGGCAACCTGCATAGAGCCTGGCATTTTTCTTGCCCACTTCTGCTTCTGCTCTCTTGTTAGACTCTTTTATATCTCAGAAGAGATTGACTAAAGATACGCGCTATATTAATCCTGCCTTGTTAACGTAAAAAGGATAGCCCATTCCTAAACGATGGGCATAGAAATCAGGATTTACAACACATATTTCTGAAGGACATCATTCAATCCATGAGACTATAGGATGGGAGAAAATACTTGCAAATCATATGTCTGAAAAGGAATTCCTATCCAGAGTACATAGAGAGCTTACAATTCGACAGCAAAAAGACAAATAACCAAATTTTTAAATGGACAAGAGATTGGAATAGACATTTCCCCCAAGACACAGATGTACAAAGGACAACAAGCTTATAAAAAGGTACTCAAAAGCCTCGGTCATCAGAGTAATGGAAATAAAAATCACATCCACTTCATAGTCACCTAAACCCAAACCAAACCCACCGCCATTGGGTCGTCAGGATGGAGACAACAACAACAATATTCATGGAGGAATAAGAGTCTGGACAAGGAGATGGAGAAATCGGAACCCTTACTCATTCCTGGTGGGAATGTAAAACGGTGCAGCATCTTTGAAAAGCCTTTGGCAATACCTCAAAAAGTTAAACAGATTGTTACATGACCCACAAATTCCACTCCAAAGTATACAGCCAACGGAACTGAAAACATTCCATACACAAACTTGTACAAGAACGTTCCTAGCTGCATTATGCACAAGAGCCCCAAAGGAGAAACAACCGAACTACTCACCAACTGAAAAATTGGTAAATATAATCTGGTGAATACATGCAATGGAATATTACTTGGCCATAAAAATGAATGAAGTACAGTTACATGTTAGCACAGTGATGGATCTCAAAAATATGATGCTAAGTGAAAGAATTCAGACACAAAAGGTCACATATAACATGACTCCATGTCTAGAAAAGCTGTCAAGAATAGGCAACTCCATAGAGAAAGAAAGATTAGTGGCTGCCAGGAGCAAGGGGAAGGAAGAATAGGGAAAAAGATTAATTGCTAATGGGTCTGAGTTTCTTTTTCAGATCATGAAAATATTCTAGAGTTCCATAGTGCTAATAGATGTTCAACTTTGTGACTATACGAACAATCACTCAATTACATGTCTATTTCAAAATGGGGGAGGTTATGGCATGAAAATGATATCTTAATAAATATAAAAAGCAGATCAATTCCGTTTCTTGACCAAAACTAGGGGTTGAAAGTGTTTGAAAGCGCACGCTGTCCAATTATTCTGAACACCCCCTGGCGATGCTTATGTAGAAGAGAGTAAGCTGTGTGAAGTCGTCCCCCTGTGTCTTGCTCTGACGTATGAGTGTATGTGTGCATGTCTATGATATTGAACGCTGTCCCCCAAACATAGCGATCACTCTAAACTCTGCTAGAAACACGTGTTTATACTGTGCAGATGCTGGAGGAACCAGTCTCTGGAGAAAGACCTCCTGCTTGTGAAAGCAGAGGGGCGGTGACAAAGAGGCAAACCCTCAACAAAATGGATTGACACAGTGGCTGCAGCAACGGGCTCAAATATAATCGTGAGACTGGCCCAGGACAGGGCAGTGTTCTGTGTTGGTACTGAACCCAGGGCACCTAACAACATCTTGTTGTTCACTTGTATAAATGAAGCGACAACACAATCTTGTATACACATAAGTTTCCCCTGTTCTTATGTCAAATGAAACGAATCAACCAACCGTCATGAGTCATTCCATCCGTACTGCAAGAGGGTGGAATAGAACGGCCCCTTTGGGTTTCTGGTGCTGTAGTTGCTCAGCAACCAAAAGCCTCATCCTCCTACCATGGAGCGACTGGTGGATTCGAACTGCTGACCTCATGGTTAGTAACCCAACCTGTAACATCAGGGCTTTTAAGCGAGCGTCCGTTGACCCTCATTCAGCTCGAAATCTATCCAGGTTGTGGTTAAACCAAAGCTTTGGTCTACGAGAGCTACCACTAGTGACGGGTGGGGGCGAGGTGACCAGGGCGTTCAGAGAGAAATACGGACTCAACGGGGAGTTAGTTCACTTTTGGGTCGCGCTGGGTATCAACGCGAAGGATATCAACGGATCTGAGGAACAGGCAGGTCCAAAAGCAGACTGTGAAGAACGGAAGGAGGCACAGCCGTGGAGGCAGGGGCGCAGCCCGAGGAGAGAGTAAGATTCGTTTCGCGTGTCCAGCTCCTGGGGAAGCTAGCCGACTGGCCTGCTCAGGTTCGGAGCGCTCAGATCTCCATGGCGCGCTGGTGATGCGCTGGGCTGCTCACTGCAAGGCCCGCGGTTCAAAACCACCAGCAGCTCCGCGGGACGCAGATGGGACTTCCTACTCCTGGGAAGATCTGCAGCCTCGCAAACCCTGCGGTGCCGCCCTGCCCGGACGGTCGCTGGGAGTCGGCCGACTGGACGCACGGTAGCGACAGATTCTCCTTGGGTGGGTCTAAATCAGCTGGGGGGTGGGTGGTGACAAGGGGGGAGGGGCACACCAATCTGAACTGTCAAAACAGTAACTCACCCGGTTTCCCCTCCTTTCCGCTCTCCCTCCCACGCCCTCTCAGCCCCACCGCGTTGCCTCGCGGCGGAGGCCCCGCCCCGGCGGAACGGCCGAGGTTTGGCCCCGCGCGGCCGCCGTGACGAGGCGTGCGCGCATGCGCGCGGTGACCCGGGGAGAAGGTGAAGATGGCGGCGGCCAGGGCGGGGGTCCTGGGAGTGCGATGGCTGCAAAGGGCAGCCCGGAACGTGGTGCCGCTGGGTGCACGGACAGGTCGGCGAGAACTGGCGAGCTCTCGGTGTGGGAAAGGGGTGCCTGAGGTTTGCTCTGCCGGGAGGGGAGGGCGGTACGGCGACGATGGTGTCCGGGCAGTGGGTGGAGGGTCCCCGCCGGTCCCGCAAGCCCTGGGGGGCGGTCTGGCCTCTGCGTTCCCGGCCGCGGAAGCCTGCTGGGCGTCGGGAGCGAGGTTGCTTCTGACCTGCCCTGTTCTGCGCCCCAGCCTCACACATTACCAAGGACATGCTCCCCGGGGCTTACCCCAAGACTCCAGAAGAACGGGCGGCCGCCGCTAAGAAGTATAACATGCGTGTGGAGGATTACGAACCGTACCCGGATGATGGCTCGGGGTGAGACCGGGGGTCCGCACGCACCGCGGTAGTTGACTCTGAGCCCCCCGCCCCTCTCCCCGGATCCTTGTTGTGACCCCCAGACTGAATGATGTGGCTGCTCTTCTCAGAGGGGCCCACTGGGAGCGGGGCGGGTGAGCAGCTGCAGCCGCGAGGACTTCCAATTTTCTCCTTGGCGCAGGCTGTTTCCTCGAATGAGGAAACCGAGGTTTTAATGGCTCCCTGGAGGACCCCGGGATAGCAGGAACCTGCCTTGGCTCCGTCGAGAGCGCCGAGTTTCATTTAGATTGAGCATCTGCTGGGCTCAGGTGCTGTCATCCGGGCACGTGACCAGCCTGGAGCTGGACTCCTGTCATGAGAACCTTAATTTGTAGATCGAGTACTCTGTGTGTGTATGTCCTTTTAGAAGATACATGTATGTGTACCGTGTATGTATGTATGTATACATATATCTGCTAGTCTACACCTACGTTTTTCTAGGGCTGGGGAAATCATAACATTTGTTAGATTAAACTGGCCGCCCCTTTCTCCAGCTGATGTTATGCCTCCCTCTTCCTCCCCGACCCATCTCCACAGAACACCCCTTTGGTTAATTTTCGGAAACGATTGCCCTATTTCCTGTCCTAGCATCACTCTTAATCTTGCTTTTAGCAGCTCCTATTCTTCTTGTTTTGTTTTCTAATCATTTTCGGTGACACGGCTACTTATCATTTCCTAGTTTGCTGTTTGAATTTTTTTAAAAATTGCGGTGGGGACAAGAGTAGCCTGGGCAGCAATCTGTACATTTGGGGGGAACCCTGCTTAGCGAGCAATCCCGCTAGATCTTTAAGTTACAGGCCAGTGCCGTGGTGGTAGAGGAACATAATTACAACGTACAATGAAAAGGAGGGCTTTTCTAATCGTCTAGATTACTAATCCAAATCATTTGAGTTTTTTCTAATGCAGACCTTAAACTTTACTTTCTTTTTCTCACTAAAGACCATACATAATCAGTGATTGATGGCTTTCAGCTCTTAACATTATAGCTGTTTGTGTGTTTCTGTTTCTGCTTTGTTGCAAAAAGCTAAGGAAATTACAGATATGTTAATGTTTCAGAGTTTGACTTGAGCTTTTCATTATAATTTGGGTTTCTGTGGGTAGACAGATACATGCTTAGAGTCACTAGGACTTCTGAGATTGGGATCTGGAAGGAAGCCACTTCTGTCTCCCTGAGTTATCTCTGTCACCTGGTTTCTCCTCTCTGACATGAGTCTGGATTAACTGAGGCTGCGCTGGGCCCCTTTCCAGTAGTTCTTGCTATCTCTTAGGTATGGCGACTACCCGAAACTTCCAGACCGCTCACAGCATGAGAGAGATCCTTGGTATACCTGGGACCAACCGGACCTGAGGTTGAACTGGGGTGAACCGGTGAGAGAATAGTAGCCCCTTTAACAGCCCTTACTTCTCTAGAATGTCTTCCTGAGCCAACTTTCTTTGGTTCAGATGACACCTGTTGCCCAGGTAACACTAAGCTTTTCTGCCCAAGCAATCAAGATCCAGCGATCTGACACCTGAGGTTTTGTGTGTGGCATGTAGAATGGGACTTCTAGGAGTAAAGGAATTTGCATTGTGAATTTCCATGATTAAGCTCTCTGATCGGCAGAGGCTAGACAGGCTTGCCCCCAGTTCTGTGGGCTCCAATAGACTCACAGAATAACAGCCCAGGGCTGTAGAAGGCCTCTCTCAAGTGTTGTATGAGGCTCTGGTAACTCTGGACTGCCTACCTTTTACGGGAAGGGTAGTATTTGACAGCTATCTGCCATTTTGCCTTAGCTCCACTGGGACCTAGACATGTATATACGGAACCGTGTGGACACATCCCCCACGCCTGTTTCTTGGAATACCATGTGTAAGCATCTCTTCGGTTTTGTGGCCTTCATGCTGTTCATGTTCTGGGTTGGAGAGAAGTACCCCACCTACCAGCCAGTGGTGAGTATCTGGGAAGAGTCCCCTTAGGCATGTTTGCTTCACCCCATTTCCCGAAAGACTGGAGTCTCTGGAATCCAGCCATTACCAAGGTAGGGCTGTGCCCCTTTGGTGGAGCACAGCTCCACCCCTGCACTTTGGATCTGGCTGGGTGAGAAGAAGCAGAAGGAGAACCAGGAGGCCAGCTCGTCTCAGGAGTGCCCATCTGGGCACTGTGCGCCTCACACACGTTTCAGCAAGTGATCTTTCTACACAGGGTTGAGGGATCTAGAACTGAACCTTACCCTTGGCTGGAGATGTGAAGGGCACTTAATTGCTTCCGGTCCCTAGTGGACTAGGACTCCTCTGGGGTCCCCCTTAGGGACTGGAAGCAATTAAGTGTCTAAACAGACAATTGAATTTTAGAGAATGTAAGGGACATAGAAGACATTCTCTGGTCTTAAAGAAGTTTGATTTGGTTAAGAAATTCTAGATCAAATGACATGATGAGCGATATTTGAACAGGTATAAGAGTTTAGCATAATGTGTGTGAGATATGTATGTACTAAGCGAGTTGAAGTGCTATTAAAGGGTTGTGGTATACATAGACACACGCGTACATAGGGGGTTCAGAGCGTTCGTGGGAAAATGAAATTAAAAGATAATGGAATTTCCCCAAAACTATTTGGGGGAAGAGCGAACAGAAGGAAGGAGGGAAGTGATGAATTAGAGTGGGCTAACTCACTGCCATCGAGCCCATTCGGACTCATAGCGACCCTGCACGACAGAGGAGGACTGCCCCTCCCCCCCCACTGCCCACTGCTCGGCACCAGCCCCCCCCGCCAGACTGTCACTCTGTGGGAGTGGAAAGCCTCATCTTTCCCCTGTGGAGTGCCTGGTGGCTTCAAATTCCTGACCTTGTGGTCAGCAGCTCAGTGCATAAGCTGTGCTGCCACGGCACCATGGAGTGGAAATAGGTATATAAAATATTGCTTTGGTAACCAGCTGTTAAAAATTCAGATTCCTAGGCTCCATTCCATAGAGAGTCTAATTCTGTCACTCTGGTGGGGTTTTAGAGTATATATTTTTAAGTCACCTCACGGGTTTGGAAATGTGGTTTAAAAAAAAAAATCGGCAGTGAGATAGTTAGTTCTGTCAGTGGCTTTTTTCACCTGGTGAGGGATTTGGACTGGACGGTGTGGTGCCCACTAACTCAGCAGGTACTTATGGAGCCCTACCATGTACCAGACGCAGGCTGCTAACGGGGCCAGCGATACAGGGCGGCTCTGGGCAGCAGGGAGCTATTGTGGGTATTTGAGCAGCAGTGTGACATATGAAGGGTGGGTTTTTAGGAAGATTAATCTGGGAGTAGTCTACAGGATGGATTGGACAGAGAGGACCTGAAGCAGGGACGCTGCTGTGTTTGCAGTTGGCTGCCCAGTGCTACCTCTGCAGAGGGAATCAATGTCCTGATGGTAGCTGGTACGCCTGTGTGCACTGACATGAGCTTCCACCAAGCCCCAGGGGCTCCAGGCTGAAGAGGGCACGTAGGGCGGTGTGAGCACTAACTTCACTTCAGGAGAGCAAGCAGCACAGTGTGGCTCTTCCATTTTTCAGTTCTGTAAGCACATCACCCTTTCTCCTCCCCTTGAGCTGTGTTCTCTGACAGCTGTTTGTTGGTAAAGTCAGCAGCCCCTAAAGCACGTTCCAGCCATGTCTCCTCTGCTTCCCCCACCGCTGCTCCTGCACGCCTCATTTGCTAGGCCACTTTAGTGGTGGAGCCATTAGAGGCTGAGTGACTTAAAGGAGATTGAGTCTGTCTCGACCCCGAGAGAGTGGGATGGATGGATGCATCGTCTCATTTAGAAAGCTTTGACTCTCTCTCATGAGCAGGGCCGGCGTGCAGGCACCGCTTCTCGCACAAGCGAGGCTCGCTCTCTCTGCCTTGGGCAGAGTGGGGAAGAGGATGCTGCTGCCGCCATTCCAGCCCCGCTGGGGCTGGCCAGAGGCTGCTGTGCCACATACCCATTTCCCACGTGTGATTGTTGGAGTGGGGCGAAGCCAGATATTGACCTGGTGCCTATCGTTCTTGCTGACCTGTGTCTTTTTCCTCAGGGGCCAAAGCAGTATCCTTACAATGATCTGTACCTGGAACGAGGCGGCGATCCCACCAAAGAGCCTGAGCCAGTGGTTCACTATGAGATCTGAGGCAGCTTCCTGGGCTTTTGTGCCCCCTAACTAGGACGCTCAGTCTTTGAGATTAACCTTAATGAAATCGCTAATAAAACTGAGTACTGCTGTTCTGTCTGGTGCCTCATTTCCCCAAAATAGCCACTGCTAAGGAACCTCACACTTTCCCCTGTTTCTATGGCTTCCTGTCTGGATCACCTCCCCCCCCCTCCCCCCCCTGCTGCTTTGGGGTTGGAAGAGGATAGGAAGGGCAGGGGAGGGAGAAGCACAAGCTGATGTGAAATTGTTAATTTGCTGGGGCTCTGAAGGCAGCTAAAGGTGCCAGTTGTGCAGCAGGGCCCGGGAGATGCTCCTGACTTCCCAAGTTGGAACAAGATTTATTTCCCATTAAAAACCTCTTTATATATAGTACTTCAACTATTCCCAAGTACCTAATAGGGTGAGTAGACAGGTTTGGACTGGACTGGGCCTGTAACTGAATCTAGCTGTTATGAGAAGTATTTTTTAAGGCAATTTATGAAGCATTTTAGTAATTTGGCATACCTGTATTCAGGAATTAGAGGGCAGTACATTGAGTTACTGAATCCTTGCATAGTTTTTATTTATCTTGATTCCAACTCTCATAATTGTCTTTGAGCCCAGCTGGAAACTCATTGCTGTGCAGTTGATGCCAACTCAACAGTGATCCTACAGGACAAGGTAGAACTGCCTTACAGAGTCTCCAAGGCTGTAACTACAGGAGTTGACTCACATCTTTCTCTGTGAAGTGGCCGGTTGGTCCAAACCACCTACTTTTGGATTAGCAGGCAGGCACCTAGCCACTGCACTTCCAGGGCTAACCTCACAGCATGTCTTTAAGTGAACTAGCCCATACTGTTTTCACCCTTTTGGGCAGCAGTTCTCAACCTGTGGGTTGCCACCCCTTTGGGGGTCGAATGACCCTTTCACAGGAGTCACCCTATTCATAACAGTAGCAAAATGACTGATGAAGTAGCAACGAAAATAATTTTTATGATTCCACAACATGAGGAACCGTATTAAAGGGTCCCAGCATTAGGAAGCTTGAGAACCACTGCTTTGGGGGGAACATCTTAAAAGTTTATACTGCCAGAAAACCTGTCCCATTGAAGAAAAAAGCCACGTGCACTCATTGTGACCTGATCAAGTTGATGGTGGGCCCGCTAATGCTTGTCCAGGCAGTGATAAAGACCCCCAAAGGAATCATGGAGTAGTGCCCCTCTGTGAAAGTCACCACTGCCCTCTACAGTGTTTGATAATTATTTAACAAGCACCTGTGCCTAATATCTATCAGACACTGATAGGCCCTAGGGATGGGAGGTTGAATAAGGCAACATAATTGCCTTCCAGCAGTTCTAAACCCAGGAGACAGGGCGTGAACTGGGGAAAATGTCTTCTCTTTCCCCTGAGAAAATGTCCTGCTTGAAATTGACTTTTACACCTTTGGTTCACAGTTTTCTTGGCGCACTCCAGCACTATCAGTCCCAGTCTAGATAATTCTAGGGGTGGGCTAATTAGTTTCACTCTGTTCTTTAGGGTTTCTCGGTATCGTCTAGTGAAGTTCAAGAAACACGCTGTTGAGTGCTTACTCAGAACAAGAGTGAGCCAGGCACAAGTAACACTCTAAACTGTCCTGTGACCTGACTTCACCCCCTGCACACACACACCTTGGACAGCACCACCCCAAGGAGGGATGTACAATTCACTCACGCCTTAAGTGGAAGTTCAAATAGCACGTCTACGATCTTCAGCTGCCTACAGGGGAGTTTTATTTGGGACTGTTTCAGTTCCTTCAACACAAAGTAAATTTACATGACCTCCCCACCTCTTCAAGTTCTCTAGTTCTATTAATAAGGACCATTTGCATAGGTCCCAGGTTGTAATAGTTTCAAATGTGCTACTTTTGTCAGCCTCAAGAGCCTGTTCAGCTCTCCTTTACCATCATCGCCGCTATAGGGACGCAGGCTTTGTGGTACCGGAGTCGTTCTATTTGGCTCCTCGTTCTGTAGTTCCTGTCTCCAGCTCGGCCCTCTCCAAGAGGATTCACGCGGCAGGCCCCCAGTACAGTCACTGTCTCACGGCGTCCGCATCCCCGCGGATGTTTCAGTAACACAGTCATGTTCACCCAGCCATTCGCCTGGGTGCAGCCTCTGTGTCTCGTGGTCTGGGACTTGCCAGGGTACTTGATAGCTGGCTGGGGCGCCCTCCCTCGCTGGTACACCACCTTGTCTTTGCGGCGCCCACGAGTGCCACCTGCCTCCCGTTCCTGCAGCCTTCCAGAAAGTCCTTGGTTCCCAGTAATCAGCTCAGCAGCTTTTGCCTAGCGGTTCTTGCCGGGCTGTAGTGCCACTCACTGCCACTTACTCACGGCTTCCTTTGCTTCTTGCCTTCTCAACTAAGTGGGTTCCAGTGAGCGCTCCGGGGCTCGCGCCGGGCCATCTCCCGCTCCAATAAGTAAATCATTGAATTAGTGCGTTCCCTTTTCAGAGGCTGTCACCCACCCGCGCCCTGGCCACGCTGAAATTGGCTGGCGCAGGATGCACGGGTCGCAGGGTCTGACACATGGCGCCGCATTAGCCACTCGGTGAACAGGCCTAGTCCAGGCCGGACACGTTCGCCAGGACGCAGTCCCAGGTCTCCGCTCGCGCGTCGCGGCGCGCGCAGGTTGGTGGCGGCGGCCAGCGGGCTGGGGCCAGGTTGGGCCTTCTGCAGCCGCCGCCCCCAAAGCCCCGAGGACGCGCCGACCCCAGTCCACCGCACCTGACCTCCGACCTGGACTCTCCGCGCAGGTTGGTTGCCCCCGCCTGTGTGGGGGTCCTGAAGCCCCCCGGAGAGAGAACAGGAGCTGCCGGGAGCCGCCCGGAGTCTCCGCGTCCGGGCTGGAGCCGAGCTCTGCGGGGCGGGGCCCGAGAGAAGCGGCCAGGGCGCGAGTCGGCTCAGCTCTGCCCGGAGGGTGCCGGCTCCCACCGCGCCTCGCCCGCACCCCCACCTTTGGCCACCCCTTGATTTCCGGGCCCCCGCGGGGGCCCTTCTAGTCACACGTGCCTCCCAGCAGAGTGGATACAGGCTGGCCCTTCCAGCCCCCGGCTTAATTGTCAGCCTTAAACCTTCTTCAGGTTGGAAACCACCTTAAGAACGAGCTCTTTCGTGACCCAATTATTTTCTGCTTTGATTTATTTTTGTTTTCGTCACTGGAAGCATGCAGAAGCAAAGAACATTTCGGAAGTTTTATTATGAAATGTAAAATTTGAACCATACAATGTGGGGCTTAAGGGGGCAGGATTAATGGAACACACCTGTCCCTCTGGTCTCTTCACTACCATCTAGATCTCTTGCCAGGTGCCTACGATTTAGGCAACCAGGCAACTTCTCCAAAATGGGCCAAACCCAAAGCAAACCCACTACCATCGAGCCCCGCTGTAAGAGAGAGTGGAGCCGCTCTTCAGAGGAACAAACAGCCTCATCTCGCTGCCACCAAGTGACTTGTGGGTGTGAACCACTTGACCTTGCAATTAGCAGCCCAATGCTTACCTCACAGCACCCCTTAATGAACAACCCCCACCCCCACTACCTTCAGAATGGTACTATCATCACCCGCACTTCAGTCTGCCTCAGAATGACGCTCTCCGGGATTTCCAAGGCTGTAAATCTTTATGAGAGCTGGCAGCCTCATTTTTCTCCTGTGGAGAAGCTGGTAGGTTAGAACAGCTGATCTTGTAGTTAACGCTCCCACACAGACCCGACAGTACAACCCACCAGAATCCAAACCAAGCCCACTACGAGTGAGTCCATCCCAGCTCATAGTGACCCTGGGGGACAAAGGAGACTTGCCCCTCTGGGTTTCTGAGACTGTCAATATTTACAGGAGCAGACAGCCTCATTTTTCTCCCGTAGAGTGGCTGGGCGGTTCAAACTGCTGACTTTGTGGTTAACTTGGCCAAATTGTAAACCCCTACCTCAGCAGATAGGGCCTGGGAAATATACCGACAAGGCTTTATTTCCCAACAAAAGAACAGAATAGACAAAAGTTTTGCAAAATCATACCTCCAGGGTCCATCATCTCATTCAATATCCCATAAAAACCTTCATCTGTGGTGGACGCCCATTACGTCCATTCCAGACAGTTACGCAGGTCCCTCCGATGGCTGCAGCCACTGTCCCCCTGCGGAGTGGGTAATAGCCCTCGGCAGAGGACACTGTAGCTACCTTCTGTTTTTGTTAGTGAGCGTGACCTGACTCTAGTTTGTTCAAGCAAGTCACAGAGGGTCCCTGTTTCCTTCCTCAAATTCAGTTACTTTAAAAAAAACAAAACAAAAAAAACCTTTCTGCCACCTTGCTAGCTTGTTGGACTCTATCCTTGACTATGTTAGATGAGATTGGAAATGGATGTTCGCATTCATTCAACAAATATGTGTTGGGCACCTACTATGTGGCAGGCATTGTTCTAAGTACAGTGAACCCTCGTTTATCGCAGTTAATCGGTTCTAGACCCTACCGTGATAAATGAAATTCCGCGAAGTAGGATTCCTTGTCACGATGCGCTTTGCTTCCTTGTTGAAAGTGAAAGTAGCCGTAGCACGGATGTTGTTTTCCTCTTTACGGATGGAGCGAACGGAAGACTCATTCAAGTCGAAATGGCGTGCAACCTCCACGATTTTCTTGCCATTTTTGATCATATCCAAAAGTTTTACCTTTTCCTGGATGGTAAGCATCTTCCACTGGCGCTTATTTTTATTGTCAGAAGGCTTAGAAGAAGCAGCTCGTTTAGGAGCCATCATAGGGCTTAGATAAAATTTCTTAAAAATCGCAAACAATTACAGTACACTGTACAAAAGCAAAAATGCATCTGATACGTAGCTCCGATACGTAGCGATGCAGACAGAAGCGTGTACAGTATGAGCCAATCAGTGGCAGTAATGACAGAGCATGCGCTGTTATGCAAAAACCGCGATAGAGTGAAGCCGCGGAAGTTGAAGCGCGAAGTGGCGAGGGTTCACTATACTATTTATAACATACACTGAGCAGACACTGCTAGCTCTCAAGGGGTTATGGATTAGTGGAGAAAACCAGCAAGGTATTCATACATAATTATGAG